GCTATTCGGAGAGTAGTATATCCCTTACCACAAGGGAGAACAGCAGGAAGTCCTGCCCTCTGTACCAAGGCCTCTTTCACTAGATCTCTATCTACACTCTTCCTATGTGAAACTATATCTGAGAGTCTAACAGCTTTCGGTAAAAATCTGTGAGTCCTTTCAGAAAAGCTCTGAATTTGAGGGTAGTTTTGAAACCCACAGCCTAAAGTTGCTTAAAGTGTCATAATTAAAGAAAGTTATGGGGAATTTTGTACTTGCTCTTGTAAGATGCACAACAGAGGCAAGGGATTTGCAACATCAGGAACTAGATAGTGGATGCTGCAAAGCAGGAGATAGGATCGACAGCCTGACATGACAGCAGCCATTTTCTATGATAAAACAGTCTGCCCAAGACACCAAGCGTACAGGTTACCCCAGTGTTCCTTCCAGTAAAGGAACTCTGTGAGTGCTCCTTCCAGTAAAGGCTCACATGAGTCTCCAACACTGGCTGGTTTTTCAGGATTGAAAGAAAAACAAGAATGACTTTAGCTTTTACATCAAAAAACAAAAACAACAAAACAAAAAACAAACAACAAGAAAACTCCAACCAACCTACCACATGAGATTGCCTTGTCACAGGACTCAGGAAAGTATCAGATACCAAAACATGACAAATATGGACTACAACTATGAGTCATGATCAACAGGAACAAGATTCTACATGGCATAAATGACTATCTGCTCAGAAGAATATGAAGAATCTACCCACTGAGGATGGGAGGAGCCAGAAACTCCAAGTACCTATCTTTTCCCAGAGGCACTAGGGGATGGAGCTGAGAGGAGTGAATGAAGCCTGCACAGGAGTACCATCAGAGACAGGAGACCTTGAAAGGAACATGGCGTGCTAGGTGCCTGGGCAAGCAACGATGATGTAGGTTTAGGGGTATGACTCATCTTGTAGAGTGCTTGCCTAGTATGCTTGAGTTTAGAGTTCAGACCTCTAGTGCTATACAATTAGGGCATGGTGGTATACCATATATTCCTAGCTCTGAGCTGGTAGAGGCAGGGAAATCAGAAACTCAAGTTCATCCTCAGCTATATAGAGAAATTAAGGCCAGCCTGGATTACTTGACACTCTTTCAAAAAGGATAAAGAAGAAAAGGAGAAGAACGGGGAAAAGGATCAGGACAAGAAAGAGAAGGAAGAGGAGGAGAATAATTAAAACAAAACAAAACACAAAAACCTCCTCCCTTCTTGTCCTCCAGCGTCTTTCAGTCTAGAGTACAATGCAGCACAGACTTCAGGTTAGCACCTATAAGAGTTTTACATGAATCATGTCCATCATCTCCCACAAGGCCTCATCTAGGGAAGATTGAAAGGAATAAAGAAAGGAATTAAAGAAGTGACAGAAAAGAGAAGAGATGAAGGAAGGGAGGAAGAAGAAAAGGAAGGAATCTGTGTAACCTCAGGAACTTACAGTGAAGAAATTGATGTTGCAATAAAGAAATCCTCTTGAAGGACAATTCATACCAAATACAATGGTCACCGCATTGACTACACATTATGAAAGCACTAAACTTTATGCAACAATGGAAAATAAGAGCCACATAATCTCTTTAGGCCAGGGTCCTTGAAATTGATGCAGCCCCAAAAGGAAAAGCAAAGAAGTAGGAGGTCTATTTTGCTGTTACTGGAATGTTAAAACAAAACCGCTCCTCAAGGTCTGTTTCATTTACTTTATAGACACAAAATGCTGCAGTGGTTTGCATGGAAAGCACAGCTCATCCTGCTATGTTTGCAGCAGTCATTGAAATGAGTCTATGTAAATCAGGATTTGTGTAAGCAGACACTCATTCCGACTGCTTAAACTACTTCATTCACTTTGAAGAAAATGACTTCACGCAGAGTTGCCATGCCATTTCCCAAGTTCCCCATTGTTAGTGAACTTTTTAACAACCATAGCATATTGTACAATGTCCTCATACCTCCAGGGTCCTCTGTTTCTGAAAAATGCAGTGCTGGGATGCCAGCTAAGGAGAGGCAAGGCATGCAGCCTAGCCTAACCTATAACAAAGAACAAAAATAACCCTGGTTTCATAGGTGTGCCACAAGGCAGAGGCAATCTGTCAAACCCCTGCCCATGGAACAGCTCTCATCCTAGATTGTATTGCACATGTCCCAAGATGAGAAACTGTCTGACAATCTTCCTGGTCCATCTTCTCCTGACAAGGACACCTGAGTGATGATCCTACCAAACCCACACACATGGTCATTACACAAGATACAGCAGAACTTTTGGATAGACTGCCCCATGAACTCATTTATTCACTCACTTAGAAAATATTTATTAGACACCCAAGTATCAGTGCCTGTGCAGAGAGCTAGGACTCAAAAGTAGAAACAAAGCACGAGAAAGAGAACTCTCTCAAGTAGGTTTCTGTCTAGAATGTGATGGAACATGGGATTCAGGTTTGCATGCAAAATTCTAGTTCACTTTGTTCCAGTAGTATTTCACTGGGACACTACTTCTTTGCCTGTTATGTGCTATTAATAGCATGTCCTACATCTGGTGGCCTTTGAGAGAATGACTAAGTTAGCGATCTCAAAGTATGTAGGCAAGGTTGGGCACACAATGCTTAAAACATCTAAAAGATTTTAAACCAGGGTAGATACTAAAGCTTTTGATTGCTTATGAATGAAGGAATGAAATAATTCAGTCCCACAGACATCAGAGTTCACAGGACAATTCCAAGGCCCTATTGTCACCATGTCCTCTTGTAGGGGACATCATGTGTTCTTGGGCAGTAGAAGTGATAGAAGGGATGGGAGGGGGAGAAATGCCTCTGTCAAATTGTCAGAGTGCACCTAGTTTGTCTCCTTGGTATAGTCACCTTCTAAAGGCCACACCTCTTAATACTGTTTACATTGGAGATTAACTTCTAACATATGCTCCCAAGAGAATCAAAACACATCAGCCTCTGTGACAAGTAGAGGGCTTCAGGGCTTTGGAAAGATCATAGTGAGTGGGTGTAAGTAAGGGTGAGAATAGAAGCTCAGAGCTAACATAACAGACACCTAAATTACCAAAGCTCTTGAGAAACTTCTAGAGCAGTGGTTCACAACCTGTGGGTCTTGACCCCTACAGGGGTACCGTATCAGAGACCTTGCATATCAGCTTATAGTTGGAACATAACATAAGGAACTGTACTAAAGTACTGCAGCATTAGGAAAGTTGAGAACTGTTGTTCTAGAGTCCTGGAATCCTCTATCATGAGCCTCATCTCATGCTTTTATTACCTTAGAAATTCACTTTCCTACCCGAAATACGTGGGTACCAGCTTCTTCTGAGAAGCTAGATCCTTTTAGCTTCTATAAAACCCTGCAATCAAAACTCCTAAGTTCAAGCAGAGGTAATTTTTCAGGCTTTTGCTGCTCTTGGCACTTGATTTCCGTGAGTAACCTGACTTTAGTACTAGAGGCACAGCCAGAGATGTTGCCAGTGCTGTCTGTCGTCCAGTGGAAATGGGGAAGGTGTAACTCTCAGAGATGGAGTCATCTGACCGGTGCGAGGTAGAGATAAGCATGTAGGTTTGAATCCTATGTCTAACGACAACTGTACTACATTGTTCTGATTAAAAAAAAAAAAAACAGAAAACAAAAAACCAACAACAAAAATCTCCAGGGAATGGAGAATTGGGCATTCAGTTTTGTACAAAGAGATAGTACATGTCACCTAAATTTATTCTGAGTGCCATTGGCCATCTCCTGAATTCCAAAGTACTTTTCCCACTAAAAAGACATGGTGCCTAAAATCCTACCATTCTGGTTCAGTTCTTTAGGCTTGGCTATTAAGGTGCACTATTTCTTATCTACTCTTTCAGGATTACTGTTCAAAACTCCTCTGTGCAATTCGACCCAGATCAAACCAATGACCATCACCTGCCCTTCTCCATGCAACATCTGTTGAGTTTCTTGTCTGACACATCCATAACCCCATCTCATGACAACCACCGATAACACTGAATAGGCACCTCTTGAAATCATAAATTTCTTTGCACTTAGCAATGTTCAATAAATCTTTTTAAAATGCATACAGAATACACATATCAAGAACAATGCACTGTATTGGTTTACTGTGATTACAATGTTTTTTTTTTAACCTTTTACAAATTGCATATTTTAAGGTAAATGGAGAGTTGCATTTACCATTTACGTTTGCAACTATGGCATGCCTCCATTCATTTACTAAGTTGTGACACATTAAATATTATCTGAATGTTTGAGGAGGGATGGTTAATCTTATCCAATTTAGAGCCTTTCAACACTTGTAAAATGAGTCCAGGGGAAATACCAGGCATGCATTGTGAGCGAAGAAAGGACACTCCTAGGCGTTACAATTAAAAGGGTGCTGTGTAGGGGGAGTGGGACAGAATAATTGGGTAGTGTGTTTAAAAAATATAATTGTAGGAAGTGAGTGAATGTAGAGCTATGATTTAAAAGGTAGTAATTGAACGGTAACAACTAATCTATAATGAGCCTGCTTTAAAAAAAAAAGTCCTAAATTCTTAAACAATAGTTTAAAAAGAAAAACAAATTAAAAGTCTTTCGGTTCAGACATATTATTTAAGTTCCATAAAGTTTTGTTTGTTTGTGTTCAGCTTATTATTTGTCTTATAGACACGGGGATGGATGCTAAAGATGTTTAAGATCACAACTCTAGTAAACAGAGTGGGAGCCAAATCAAATCGTCGTGGCTTTTCACAAGTCAAAGAAAATTGAGAATAAGTAGAAACCAGGCAGAAAATATGTACAGGGAAAGGCCCCATTAGGAAGTAAGAGCTCCCCAGATTCTTTGATCTGGGAGGGCAACTGACTTAGTGAGAGAATAGCGCTCCAAGGAAAGCCACAGGTGGGGACAGGGAACAGGATTAGGTCGCCCAGAGGAGCTGGCCGCTGCTATTCTTACCGCCTCTCTTCCGGAAGTCAGGAAACCCAACGCCACTTGACCTCCTGCGGCTGCCATAGAATCCCGTTGCCATGACTCCCTAGTTGCGTCCCTACACTCTCAGAGGCACAGCTGCGAGGGCGGAGGGGAATCCTGCCGGTTTCCTTGTTTCCCTGACCAGAGATCCAAAAAAGCGCCATGGGCCGAAGTAAGCGACCCTCACCCTCGGTTAGCTTAGCACCCTCTCCCTATTGCCAGCCATTTCCCCCTCCTCCTACCGCAAGACCAGCCCTCAGGTGCCTCAGCTGCTCCAGGCTCTCTGATGTCTGCCCAGTATCCCTAAGATCCTCTAGAGATCCCTTAGGTCTCTTTGGGTCTGCTTAAGACCCCTGAAGTCCCACCATGACTTCTCATTATCCTATAGGTTCCCTTAAATTCTTTCAGGAGTTCTTGGGTCCCTTCAAGTCCCTTAAGTCTCGTCAGGTTTCTTCAGGTCCCCTCAGGTTCCTTATGTCCTCTCAAGTACCTGCCATATTCTCCACTTGCCACTGGCCAGCAGCTAGCCAGTCTATAAAGTGGGTTCCAGGGAGACAGGGGATTCAGGAAGACCTGGTGGCTCAGCCTTAGCACATGACTGGTTAGGCTGTGAAGTCCTTCTGTTTGCCACCGAATAAGATACTGCTGCCTAACGGAGGACAACAATTTCAGGGCCGTGGTTTGATACACACCCTTCTCTAGGGCCATCCTAAGAGCCCTATGGCTTTGCTCTGAAACTCTCCTCTGTGCGATGATTAGTTTATGTCAACTTAATGCAAGCTAGAGTCCTCTGAGAAGACAGAATCTCAATTAAGGAGTTGTGTTTATCCGATTGGTCTATAGGCAAGTCTGTGAAGGTATTTTCTTGATTAATGTTTGATGTGGGAAGGCTTGGCCCACTGTGGATGATACCACCTGTAGTCTGGGAGTTTTGAGTTGTACAAGAAAGCAAACTGAGCAGGCAGGCCATGGAGAGCAAGACTGCAAGCATCATTCCCCCATGGCTTCTGTTTTAGTTTCAACCTCAAGATTCCTGCGTCAAGCTTCTGTTCTGATTTCTCCCAGTGACAGATCATGATCTGGGAGTTATAAGGTGAAATAACCCTTTCCTCTTCAGGTTAGTTTTGGTCATGGTGTTTATTCACAGCAACAAAAACAAATTTGGACACCCCTGCTCTTCCTTGAACAGCTTTCTGCTTGCTAAAATGTCTTCAGTTTTCTAGAAGAGTTTATGGTAAAGCTATGTTTCCTTAAATGGTTGGTATGGTTTATCTGTGGAAACATCTGTGTCTAAATTCTCTTTGCTAGAAGGCTTGTTACTCCACAGCTAGCTTCTTGAGATGACTGACAGCTCCTTAATCTACCCTTGTATTTTTAATGAGCTTGGTAGTTTTCATTTTATCAAATAATTAACATATGTTCATTAATTTTTAGGGGATGCACATAATATTTATAATATTTGCTGTAACTTTTAATGTTTGTTTAGTAGATTGTATAATATATATACTATATATATGTGTATATATGTAATATTGTCTACGTACTTTAATGTTTGTACAGTAGGTATATTATCTCCTATTACAAAAATTGGCAATTTATTCCATCCCTTTTTCTGTTAAGTCAGAATAAAGTTTACAAATTTCATTGTCTTAACTCATCAGCTTTTATTTTTCCTAATTTTTCATGATTTGTCATTTGATTACTGTTAGAATCTTTATTACTTACTTTATTCTATTTTGAATTTGATTTCTCCTTTCCATGTACCTTAAAGTGGAAGCTGATGTCACGTCTCTGCTCTATATCTTTCTGACTATGGATGCTCAATGCTATAAATTTTCCTCCCAGACATGTCTTAACAGTGTCTCCAATGAAGCCATTCTGCTCAAAACACAAATTTGCTTCTTTTTGTTTCTGATGTTTTATAAATAACACACACACACACACATGTATATATTATAAATTATATAATGCATGTATATTATTATATATATACATATATATATATATATTTAATCATATATCTATAGTATAGAGTTTAGTTGGTGTAGTAGTTTGGGAATGTGAGTTCTAAACAGGACCCATCACTTCTGGAATCTCTGTTGCTCTTATGTTTTAGCCTGATTCTGGTACTCAGCTTTCCTGGACCTATTGTTTCAAGATAAAAACCTCCTATATACATCCAATTCCTTCTCCTGGTCTCCACACTTAGCTTTTAATAGTCCATTTGGATTTCTTATCCTTTCCATGGCAGCTGTGTTTAGTCAGAACACTTACATGGAACTGGCCTTTAAATGACATGCCTGAGAGGTCACACTCACTATGGCATTTTGTTTCATTGAATTCCCCCACTGTTCAACACCAGAGAGAGCTTCACAAATGCACAGCATCGGTGAGCCCAACACTGCCTGTGTACCACTGAATGCCAGTACCAGTGTCCATGTTGCCATTCTGGCAGTAGATTTGAATTCAAACCTGCATTTTAGCTAGCATATGATTTCATGGGCCACTATGGCTATCATTACTTCCAGATTTGGCTTCCCTAGAAATAAGCTTCTCACACTTAGTATGCTAGAGATTTACTCTGAGAAATTCTTAGGGTAGGGAGTCAAAGAAAGATTGAGCAAGGTGGACAAAAGAAGTCTCCGATAGTCAACCCCAGGGGCTTCAGACTTGCAGTGGACCTTCTGAATTTCTCACACTGAGATAAAAGACTGTGCCTCAACAGCCCTTACCAATCTCATCCACTTATGGACTTTTGTGAACAGACATTAGCTGGGTCAGGAGGTGAGGCAACTTGAAGGAACGTGAACAACTGAGGACCAGCAGAGTTCCTGGCTGCTGATGGAATTCATCTGTTAATTTAGAAGAGGATGAAGGGGAAACCAGGCAACACATTGTATTATCCAAGATGGCCTGGTCCCCTTTACTAATTTGCTTGTCTGGCAAACATCTACACACACTTCAAGGTTCAGGTCTCTCATCCATGTAGTCTCTTCTGACCTCCCTTCTTTGACTCAGTAGCTCAACCCACATTTTCTGAGTTCTCCTGCCATGGTTCTTGGTGCTTTTTAAATACAACAGTCGTATCAACAGTCCTTAATGGTATCATTGGATTAGGAATCAGTATGGATCCTGATGCTTGTTAAGTCTGTAAGAAAAAGCACATGTGTTATCTTGAAAATCCTAATAGAAAAATAATTAGATACTATGAGGCAAACTACTTATTTGTAATTCCATGTTTCTATTAAGTATCTTTAATGTCATGTATATATGTATATATACATGTATGCACACGTGTGTATTTGCAATGTGTTTCAAGATGTTTGAAAAATCTGTGAAGTCTGCTGTGAACATATTGGTTGATTTTTGTTTAGTCCAGCAAGAAAGACAGAGCTATTTTCAAAACACGATAAAAAACATAAAGGAATGACCAGGATGTGATAGTTCATTCTTAGAATCCTGGACTTTACTTGAGAAGCTGAGGCTTATGGAAGGATTGTCATGAGATCTCGGATAGCCAGTACTACATAATAAATGTCAGGCAGCTTCGGCTGCAATGTGAGACACTAAATCAGGAGAGCAAACAAATCCTAAAAGAACAAGTACTAAATTGTTTTGGCTTTGGAGTTTTGTCAAATTTTACTGAGTATCTTGAAAACATTTGCATAAGTAAACATGTTAAGACATGCTTTCGTAGCTCAGAAGCTTTATTCTGTTTCACACTGTACCCCAGTCAGGTCGTGTGTGTGTGTGTGTGTGTGTGTGTGTGTATGTGTGTGTCTATGTGTCTGTGTGTGTCCTTGTGATGTGTTCATGTGTATGTGTTTTCATATGTGTATGCCCTAGCATGTTCAGGTCAAAGATCAGCCTCAGAGTTTGCTCCTCACCTTCCCCTTTGTGGAAGACAGGGTGTCCTTGTTGTTTGTCAGGCCAACTGATCTGTGAGTTTCCAAGGCTCCTCTTGTCTGCATGCCCCATCTTCCTTTAGGAACACTGATTGCAGACATGTGCTATTTCATTTGAGTTCTGGGGATTCTAGTTCACATCCTCATGTTTCCATATTATGTGCTTTACCCACTAAGCCATCTACTCAGGCTGCCCAAGGTCATTTTGCAGATACATGATAAAGATTTAAGAGGCCCAGTCTGGATAATCAGTATTAATTCAACCTTGGAATTCTTCGGTGCCCTGCTTTAATGATGTAAGTATTTAGAGCTGTCAATATCTTTCAGTGTTCCCTCTTTCCTGCAGGAATGCAAGCATCAGTGAGGACCACCTTCCAGTAGGCCATGTTTAAGTTCCATCGGAGGTTTCTGGTTTGTTACTTGTGGTTTTCTGAATTTCTGATTGAGAAAGCAGAAGCAGCATTTCATGTGGCATGGTCTCTATACTATCCAATACATGATGCAGCACTGTTGCTCTTGAAACTGTTGCACGGTGAGGTTGTCAGTGCTACCGAGGAATTTTTAGGTCCTCGAATGAGCTCACGTAAACACAGTACTATATTTCTGGTGTAGGACTTTCTGAAGGTGGGCAGTGTTGCTTGGAGATAAAGAATGCACGATTAAAGCTAGGTGCCATGGCTGCCTGTGGTGTCACATGCCTTAAATTCTGGCATTCAGGAAGCTGGGCAAAGAGGTAGAGGCACATAGGTTTCGGTAAATTCAATGCCAGCCAGGTCTACAAAGCAAGTTCCAGAACAGCCAGGGAAACTGCACAGCAAAACCCTGTCTCAAAACAAAAACAAACAAAAAACTACCACCAATAACAACAATAACAAAAATCCAAGTGGTATGTTTTGAGCATTGGCAAGTGAAAAACATCCTATTCCTTTTTTTTTCTTTTTTTTATTGGATATTTTATTAATTTACATTTCCAATGTCATCCCCTTTCTCTATTTCCCCTCCCTATAACCCCCATCCCATCCCCCTCCTCCTTTTTGCTTTTACACCATTTTAATTACATGCATATATTAAGGTCAGTTCTAGGTTGAGGGTCTAGCAATACAATAGATGCAAATAGTAAAGGAACAGAACATCGTATTCCTGTTTCTGTAAATTATAGCTTTCCACTTAGTACTGTTTTCACTTTTTAAATTTTTTACCTTTTCTCATCAATATCAAGACATTTGCACATGGAAAAAAATCTAGGTTGAATGTAAAATTGCAAAATTCCTTCACATTTAAAAGGATAAAACACTATCTTCTCCATTCGCCACATAGAAATTCTTTACATCTCTTCTCAGGGGCTGAATCTAGGTTTCGCACTAATATTTGCCATTACAGGTAAGACAGTATTATGTAACAGTTTCCTGAGAGCCAGAAGACAGTAGGCCATGTAGCAGTTGGCCTATTATGAACCTGTTCAGTATTTTGACTGGCTTGATCCTGTGCAGGAGGTCACAACTGCTTTAGGTGATGAGCACAACGACCTTATCATGTCCAGAAGTCAACATTTTACAGCTTTCCTTCTCATCTACCAGCTACAGCTCTTACAGTCAGTCTGCCTCCTCTTCCGTGATGTATCCTGAGCCTTGGATGCCCCACTAGATGCCCCCACCCCATGCACATGTGTGTAGCACTAATTGGATGCAGGGTGTTTATTAACAACAAAATAAGAGGGCATTATATTTCAAGGACTATAGAGTGGTGCTACTGGGAAGACTTAGAGGTAGTGGTGGATGGGTATAATCAAAATAAATTATAAAATGTATGAAATTCCCAATTAATACATAAAAATTGTCCCGCGCAACCTCCCGCCAGCAGGAAAGACGCGGCACACTCAGGATCCTTCTGCAGTATAAGCTTTAATGCATCTTGAG